GTGAGTTTGACACACCTGCTCTACACCATCTCAGCCCCCCTTTTTAGCAGTAGGACCTGTTCTGTCTTTAACCAGCTGTCCACAGCTGCTCTGTGATTAGACATCCTGATTCATGCTCAATAATCCAAGTATAAAATCCATCAAAGTGGATGATTTCTTGTGATTGGATGTGTGGGGAACAGTGTGTGACAATCTGTGAGTCCCAGGACAGGACAATGAAGACAGAGTTGATTTACATTAAAATCTGCCTTTTTGTAGTTGCGTAGTTCTGTCATTATCCTAACATTATAGTATTGAAACCAACAGGTAAACAGATATGTAGTCTGAGTACTTTTGGTACTCATAAGGTCTTTTTAGCTGACCTAGTATGTAATTTAAACAATCCACCAGAGGCAGACCTGCTTGTGTTGATGTGAGCATTTTTAATGTCCAACATGTAAGTCATGCAGCATTTTGAGATGAGACAACTCTAAGTCCTCTGAGCTGTGGGAAAATATGAAGAGAAAAACAAATGGCACTCGACAAAAATGGATCTTTGACAGCCAATGGTCTGGAGCATTATTCCACCATGTAAGCAGTTAAAAGTTCAGTCCAAACCATTTTCCAAATACCAAATGTGACGGCAGTGGAAAATGCTCCTAGCCTGTTTCCCCAAAAGATAAAACTCTTAAAAGTTGATTTCTGTAGAAAATTATAAGAGATGTGTGGTGCATTACTTGGGTTAAGCCCAGCTTAGTCTTGTGTCAAAAGGTCAGTATCGGTTTTTATCATTTGTCAAGGCTGCTCCTTGGAACAGATGTTCGATGCAATCAAATATACAAAGATCCGTCATGAATTTCACTTTATTAAATGGCTGCAATTATTTCTACAGATGCCTGTTGTTGGAGATGTGTGGGAGGAACATTTGTTGAACTCATAAAGTCTAGTTAGTACCGGAAATATTTGGGCAATTACTTTGCTTTTTGTTTTTAATCCATTTACCAAAAGTAAAATGGTAAATGGACTATAATTGTATAGCACTTTTCTGTCTAATCAAGATACTCCAAGCGCTCTACACTACAATCTGTGACTCAATTTACCTCCACACACATTCATACAGCACTCTACTACATCTCTACAAAGGTAATTTAACAAATCATTCTATAGAAGCTATTCAGTGCTTTTAGATCACATTTATAACAGCAATGGACACACCTCAGAGGCAATGAGGGGTTCAGTGTCTTGCCCAGGGACACTTCAGCATGTGACTGCTGGTGGAATCAAACCCCCAACTCTACCAATGGAGGACGACTGCTCTAACCACTCGGCTACAACTGCCCCATAACGTCATTTTACAGTTTTATAATACAACCTTAAGTCAGAAAATCAGAGTCAGAAAACAACAAAGTCTATGCTCAATAATCCAGGTATACAATCCAACATTTTTCA